CTAGGAGTGCTTTTTATCCAGTTCTACTAAATCATCAGCATGAATGTCACTCCTCCTCCCTCCCATGTCCTGTGACTTACTTCTCAGCACAGAAGATGCGGTGGAAGAAAGAAGACTCTTTGTTATAGAGCGCTAACTGCATTTCCACGGACGATTTGCTCAACGAAATAGTTTACATTTGTGGCTGAGGCCAAGTTGGAGCTCAACCTTGAGAGAGTCTCATGTCATAGAGGGCATAAAAATAAAGGCAATTAGCGCAACGCAAGTTGGGCCATTAAATGCAGCTATGCAATTCGTGTTCACTAAAAAGCCGTCATTATCCAATCTGACAATATTTGTTGCAAGTAAGCGCATGAAGAAGGACGCAAAACTTCACCTACATGCCTTTGCATTGCTTAACTAATGCTCATTTTATATGGGGATAGGTAAGGCATTTAAATAGGCTTTTAATAAAAGGTAGGTTTTAGAATGGTGTTGACAAGATCACAAATGCAAACAGACAATAGTAGATGTTTCAACACATGTAAGCTAGAGCACATCAATTGGACTACATACATACAAAGTAAGAGCTCTTTGTGATTTTTAAGAATGCCACGAATATCGGGAGGGTAAAACGCATAGCGCCTGCGGAGCTCATTTGTCGTGAAGCAAACATCATGCTATGGTTAAGTAGAGACCGGAACCTTTTTGTCAACTTCCATTAACAGAAATGCCTATAATCCTAAGGAAATCCAGCCCATAATGGCACTAAACACTAAACAATGGGAAAAATACCTCAAACATTGGGTAATTTGAGCTTGGACACCCATAAACGGATATAAGTAGACCTTTATCAACGCTATTAGACCTTCGGATAACATTACATGAGCATAAGTAGGCCCGATATTAAGTAATTTGAGCTTAGACACATTGAAATTGATGTAAATGAGCCCGTGATTAGGTAATATGAGCTTGAACATCCTTAAATAGATATGAACAGAAATATATTTGCCCATTCGGACATCCACATTGGCTTAAATCAACATAAGCAGAACTAACTTTAGGCAATTTGAGCTTGGGTAGACTCAAATCAAAAAAAAACAGAGAATTATTTGCGTAACTGGACATCCGAATGACCTTAGATCAACGTAAGTATGCCCAACACTAATTACTTTTAGATTGAACACCCTTAAATAGACATAAGCAGACATTTAGTTGCGTAAAAGAACCTCTAAAAGGACTAAAATTGATATAAGTGGACCCAATGTACGCATTTTGAGCATGTTTGTTTCCTCAAATTTAGCCAGTAAATTCATCAAGTTTGCATCACTGGATCATCGATTTACTCCTATCCATGCGTCCGATGTACCATGATGTCAGAAGTCATACTTGTGCATTGATCTATCACAAAAAGGCACAATGAGACTTCAAAAGCGCACGAAGCATGAACATATTTAGGCATATTTTGGTGGTAATTCGTGATTTATAGGGTAAAAATACCCATCGGCTTGATACTTTCAACTAGTTAAGATGAACAAAGTGAAATAGTTTGCCATCAGCTAGAATGTGAATGCCATGCATCCACATTTGAGAAGCACACTCAGTCACGACAAACTATCTAACTAGCATCGAGACCTCGAGTGACGCTTGGAAAGGCGGTAGTGTCCACTTTGTGTGCCGCAAATGTTCATTCATACGTGCCTGATTTGTACTACAATTTAAAGAGTTGCCTTGATTACAGCCTCCCACCCCAAATTTGCGACCCCTTGGCATGCACTACAGACAACAACCTATCTAGTGGAACAATTTTTGGGCTAATAATAAACTATCACAGTTTTACTAGATAAGCGTCAAATTTTTCGACCAGCATACATTTTAAAAGAAGCCGTATTTGCAGAATGCAGTATTTTAATCGCCATTAACTAAAATTAACTCAACAGACACTATATCGAAAAAATTTAGCTACCATGAAGCGATTGTAAAGAATGTTATCAAAACCACCACCGTAACCAGCTAACACATATTGTAGTAGAGTTTTGATACACATTGTTCCTTTTGATCTTACAGCCTTAATTATGAGTGGGCCCACCCTAGATTTGAAGCATGGTATCAAGACTCTGAAATCTGTGGTTATGCATTAATTCGTTTAGCTTCACGAGCTTTGCGTCTGCTTGAATCGCAGGTCCACCATAGGGCGTGGCCTTTGTGTCATGCATATGGTCTTCCAGTTTTTCTGTGCTCTAGTAATGCATGTACTTCACACTATTTTGGCCTGTTACGACTCTGAAGAAGACTCAGGGTGCCAAAACTTCATTACTTACAAACTCCTTTAGCTACAACCATTAAGGTGCCTGGTCTGATAGTCAGAATGCTCCGCTAAGTGCTGCCGGTGTTGGCTGTACGCCTTACCTGCAGAATATTTCATTATTTGCCAAACACTTCTTTGCTTCTGCTAGAAAACACTAACAATTGAGCTATAGAGCACACTAAAGATAGCTAAGTCACTAGTTGTTAAGCAAGGTAATAAGGTTTGTTGTATTACTGAATTGTGTTAACCTGTGGGTTACTCGTGGCAAGCTAGTGTTGCAAAGATATCAATTCACACACCATTCTAAAACTTCACACCGAGACTCAATGCTATAATGCAGGTAAGGGTGAAACTCTATCAGCTCTGTGACACAACTGAATTTCCCCCATCAACCTACAAAAGATTAAGAGGATTTTAATTTCAAAGCCTTATAGTTGTCCATTCAAATGACGCCGATAAAAGTTATAAAGGGACGATAGTTAACTTTTGATTCTCGTTCAACTTTCACTACCTAAGGGAAGTTTGATCCTACATAATTATTTAATGACTGTGAGATCAATTAGTTTACGCGCATACACACCATCACGAGGGTAGCTGCAGCAAAAGAACGATATGAATTTCCTTGTCATCACAATTGAAACTTGAAGACGTCAAGAGCATACTTAGGAGATTGCTGTAACAGTATCACAGAGAAGGACTAAGAGGGATTATTAAATCGTCCTTTCTGCCATTGCTTATTTTAAATGTCTCTCCTTGTGTTTTTTGCGTTCACTTGGTTGCTTTGGCCTTGATGGAACTTTGTATAGACTCTATTCAATCGTCAGGTAGAAATGAATTAGGTCAGACATTGGCCTAATTCTATTCATGCTGACTGTATACCTGATGCATTTGCCCAAAGGGTTACAACGGCACTTTGTGTGAATTCTATTAGCGTATTGTGAAGACCTTATCTGCAATTACCGATAAATTCGTCCATCTTATCCCTGGATTAATTGCTAAATCTGTGAAGTTAAAAGTACGCCTAGCATTTGCTCAAAAGGCCTTACCTACGACAAAATCAAAGGCGGCGCTTCTAAGTGTTCATCAATAAATAGAACCGGCTCTCAAGATCCCGAATTTTATCCGGCCTCCAACATTATTATGTTAATGCCCGCACAGTTTATGATCTCAATTAAGGGCAGTATTGTCATGGTCTATTTGTCGCCCTCCCTCCTCAGTCTAGCAATCGGCAGTCTCTTGCAGCCGCGCACTTTGGTCTTGTCCTAGCCATCGCCGTGTGTCTCTTCATGGCAGCCTGTCCATGGGGACGTGAACAGACCCAATCAAAACAAAAGTCATAAACAACTAAGCCTAGGGAGCTGTCAACATTTGGTTGACCTGCGAGCCACTCAATTTACTAAGCTCCATTCAGACTACACTACTCAAGCTTCCCTTCTACCCGAAATTCAAAAGCGAGGTCGTCTCAAAAGAGGTCGTCCCTTCTCAACTCTCCTTCCAAGTCCACTTACGAAACAGCCGGCAGCTGTGGGGACATTAGTGTGCTCACACTGCCTCCACGGCTTTTGAGAATCAGCTCAGTTATCTCCTATGCACCTGCCTTTCTCTAATCCATCTTTTGCTCCGCAGACAACATCTAATGATCAGCGTCTTGCCCACTGGTCAACTGATTTGGCCTAAACTACACTCACTGACGATGCCAACTCAGTGTTTCTGAGCAGAAAAAGAGTGATGCTTTCGGAATATCACTTAGAGTTGGAGCAGTAGTGTTCTGACGTACCCGTGTCTAAAACTGAAACAATGGTGAGTGAGGGACATTAGATACTTCTGAGCCGTAACACATAGTATTTCGTAAATTGTAGACTAACTACTTTAAAATAGGCTTATTTCCTATTTGTAAGCAGCCGCAGGGACACAATCGTTTTCGCAATAATAAGTCCCGGTGAAGTAGTCCAAGGTCACAATTAAATGTTCCAAAACGGAAGCTATCTTTCAAATAAAGTAACAGTAGTAGCGTCCACGGGGGATGCAATAAATCCGCGGGATATCGAACTGCGACATCTTAACATCCAGCGCTGATTAGGACCAAACTCGTAAACGTCTTCCTTTGCCTTTAAACGTTGCAAGCTATAATTCATTGGAAAGACAAAGCGCAAAACAATCTATAGACTTTAATCAACTTTACAAATATTTTAATTGTTTGAATCGTCTAAATGAGATTTATTACCATGATCGTTATCATAAGTGGGCGTTTTGTCCCAAATAGACTGCTTGATCGGTGCATTGTTAACATTAAAAAGACAACTTTTAATAAAAGTTACTTCATGAACAATTCTCCTCACGCCTTCTGCTAAGATAGAACCTAAATCCACCTGCTTACATTACTCAAAGTTAATTCTTTAGACGTGATTGGATAATTCGCAGCCAATTAACATTAAGAGGAGGGTAACGAGAAGCTCTATTAATATCGTTCAATATCATAAGTCAAAATATGCGTCTGCATCTAACTTCCCATCAAATTTCCTATTTTTCGGTGATTGTATTGCTCATCCTGGCATGTGCCTATCTTAACAAAAAGATTCAGCATATTTTACATCGCCCCACAAACATCTATGATTACTCAAGAATTCAACAAACGCTTAGTGGTACTGAGGTCAACAAGCTCTACTTTCAAATCAGTCAACAGGCTCTGCGCATTTCCCACGAGTTTTGGCACATGAGTCGAGCAGCTAACGATTCAGATCGATTTCGTGATCTCCTCGAAGATATGTCAATCCAACTGGAAGCCCGGTTAACAGTGATGGATCAGCTAACTGGGGAATCAGAGCGCAGACGTGCACGCCTCATTCATCTGGCTAAACTTCTGGAAGATCAACTAAATCAACTACAGAACCCATTAAACTGTAACACGGCCAAGTTCATTGTAACTGAGCTACCGATTTGTGGTTTTGGGTGTCAAGTTCATCACGTTGCTCTTGTGCTCCAGGTGGCCTATGCTTCAAACCGCACCCTCTTCGTTAATAGTAATAATTGGTTTGAAACTTTCTATCCAGTCACAAGCTGCCCTCACACTGGAGCTGATGTGATTTTTCAGCCACCTTCGGTTTTTGCACAGACCGTAGTGCCCTTTGCACCACCTGGTCTCAGGAGAGACTGGGCAGAGGCTCTCAGCGATATCCATGAATACCCCTATGCTTGGTTCAGAGGTATTCTTGTGCGCTACATTCTTCGATTCAGGTCAACTGTATTTTTCAAGAAATTGCGAGCTGATTTGGGGAAAATCAAAGCCAAACCACTGATCGGTGTTCATATTCGTCGAACCGATAAGCTCATAAAAGAGGCCGAATATTTTCCATTGTCACGGTACATGGATAATGTCGAGCGGGCCTCTAGGAGGTTCGAAATCGAAGAAGAGCTTTTGCATCATAAAATTCAGATTCGAAGAACTGTTGTTTTGACGTCTGATGATGTGGGAGTCTTGAAGGAGGCTAAAACTTTCTATCCAAACTACACTTTTATTGGTGATGAAAACCGTGGGACCAGTATCCAGCTGAGAAACCAGAAGAAAGGTATAGAAAGTATCGTGTACGATGTCTTCAGTCTAGCGAACTGTGACCATGTTGTTTGCACATTCTCTTCCAATATCTGTCGCCTCGTCTATGAGCTGCTCTTAACCGATATGAGAGTGTACGGTGACAGAACAACTCATGTACAGTCTATTGATAATATCTACACCATGCACGGCCAACGTAAACGCTACTGGAAGGTTATCGGACGTGCGGTTGGAAGTGACGCCAAAATAAACGATACTGTAGTGGTGTTGAAGAACTTTTGGAATGGCTCCATTGCAACAAATGATGGCAGGATCTTGCCCGCATACATTGTAAAGGAAAGCGTTTTACGACTTCCCGATAAGTGAAATTCCTCGGGAATTTACAAACCTACTCTGTTCTTCCATTTGACTTTACGGCCCTTCTTTAATCTTCTTCCTAACTTGGTTTTTTGAATAAAAACTCCGCCTGAGCAAAGCTTGGATCTTAGTGTTAGATTTTCCTTGAGACTCGCTTATTTGGAGGGATGCCTAAATAAAATTTGTGTTTAAGCGAAAAATTCTGATTCAGAAGGACCTTTTCAGATCTGTAAAATTAGTGAAATATCCACATGGAGTCATTAAAAGAAGTCATTGTAAAATGTGCAAACGCCTAAGACAGCTTCAACCCAACCGAAGTTGTATTAGTGCATCCATCAGAGTCACTTGATCACTTAATGAATTCTCATCCTCTGATAAAAAAAAAGACAAACATCTAGTTGCATAGTAGTGCAATCAGAATAGCGCAACAGGACCAGTGAAACTATGTAGCACCAAGTCCAGAGCTGCAATGTATAAAATGGGTTAAGTGCATGCAATTAATTGTATGTGGCATTGGGTTTTATGCTGTGCACAGCAAATCACCTCTCGCTATCAAATTGATTAATTAAAACCACATTCACCCTATCCGGAATACCACCAACTTTCCTGCAACTTGTTTGTTGTCAAATTTTAATACGTAGCCTCCCTCCGCTTTTGGTCTACGTTCCCGGCGCTCCCTTTAGCAACCTCCCCGTCGGCCACCACAGGGTAGCTGATGTTGTGGGAAAAGTACCCACGACCGGACCGCACCAGGCATCAAGTTTGTGTGCAACTGCAATGGTGTCTGAATGCAACATCACTGATACTTCTTGGCAGTTTCGCCTTATCCAGAGGTCAGATCCGTTTGGTGTCTGCATTGGGGGAGAGGGAATGTGCAGTCTATCATGTATATCCAGTGCTAGTTGAAAGGGAACTGGCCTAAAAGCAAGATCATTTGGTTAAGAATAGTGTTTAAAACAATACTGCGGGGATGAGGTTCTCTGTCCGCCCCTCCATGCTACGTTGATCTTACACCGGTGCTGCCCAGACATTTATGTTTGGGTGCTAGCCATCTAATGGCGAGGTGGAAGAGGCACCACGTGTTTGCGTAGTTGATATCCTCATACATACAACGTGGACCACTTAGCAACGTGCCTTGCCAGTTAGTTCTAAATTTACGCTCAAACATTGTCATGAAAATTCCCAACGCCTGACCAGACAAACTGTCAGCAACTGTAATAACTACATTATATTTATGCGACCCTAAACTATGGGTCGCTTTAAGTCGACTGCAGACACTAATAACTCCTCTTCGTAACGCTTCGCTTAGTGGACCCTGCACGCATTTTCGTGTACCCTTTTGAGTACTTGCTACTGTATTTGCCTACTGTCTTAATTAGCCGTAATTGGGCCTCAATTGGCCCACAACAGCCACCTCGACCATCAGCAGTGGGACACACTTACTGTATACTACAGATGCTAATACTGTCGCAATGTAAACTGTTTCTAACTGTTCGCCTTACCACTGAATACACAGAAAAACAATAAAATTAATGTGAGTACTTGCATTGCGACCTCATTAATGTATCACAGAACTCTACTTTGTTATACGTAGTCGGTATTAAATGAAGGATGGCTGCCAATCTTGTCATCCACCTATTGAGGCATCAGCTTTGATTATTTTGAGGTACCTTATCTGACATCTAAATGGGTATTTCTTACCTTTAAAAGGCCCGCCTATGAATCCCACATTCTTTTGGCGATGAGCAGACTGCATCCAGATGGGCAGTTCTTGAGATTTGCAAAGCCATGCCTGTCAAAATAGCATGTCCTCACATCGTGGTGCGACAATTCAAAGCATCTCGTTTCCACCCTGGAACATGCAATTTTATCACCTCTATAAGAGCCTAAACCTCAAGAAACTAACTGACGTGACACTGGCCATCGTATTGGATATCAAAATAATATGAACCTCAAGTTGTCTTAACATCATCGTTGAATATTCTAAAGGTCTCGCTTTTTACTGCTTTATGGTAACAATGGGATTAAATATTATGGTTATTATAGTTCTGCTCTTTAGTTATAGGGAATTTGAGAATTTAGTGATTCAGTGGTTCGGGTTCATATGTGAGACAATTCTTGTAAAAGATAAGGAGGCATGCAGCCTCCTGTTTAAAATTAGAAGATTGAGAGAACTTGCGAATTGGAATGACATATTATTTCACTTTGCTTGTTGTAACGCAATGAGTGCGAACCCAGCGCCTTCTGCCGCCCTCCGATCTCCACCATCTTCATTAGCCCACAAAATCTGCACTTTTTGGTTCTTCCTAGAAAAAAATTGATTTGCATAGTACAGCTGCGCGTTACTCTTCAGCGCTTCACATTTTCATAGTACCGTACTTTAAGTTGAGCATTGCGGGACTATATTCAATGGTCAAAGGAAAAAAGGTCAGGAGATGATGCGGTTAAGGACTTTGAAGCTTACAAAATTAGTCGCTTTGCCGGTAAATCAATTCCAAATCCCCAGTTGTTTTTATTTAAATATAATAAGATGTTTTGGCATGCTTGAGTATTAAGAGCGCTGCAAGATGTAAGTGAATGTCCCAGTAATGCGTCCCACAAAATTCTCTTTAAGGCTAAAGAACAACTGATAGTTACTGTTGGCATAAAAAGGAGTGGAAATTTTGCCTGCGATTTCATTTTCGGTGGAGTTTCAGCCCAGAGAGAGGATAGCACTTTTAGTCATAAGACTGGTGACAAAAATGGCTTAACTTTTGAATTCACTCATTAACTTTCGCAATTAGATTATCTACTTTTTTGAGTTTTTTTGCTCTAATCTTGCAAATCTATACTATTTTTCGAATTACGTACAGATAAGATTACATTCTCCTTGAGTTAAGCTAGCATTGCATTAGAATGCAACCCTTTGTAAGCTAGTACTACGGTCGCCTAATTTCATGATCCGAATGGAGAAAACATGAAACTGCAGGAGTGAAAGACATCTTTTGGTAGAATTCAAAAAACATTTTAAGGTTTTTGGTTGACTACAGCCTAAGCTTGCTGAGCCTTGTGCTCTTGACAGCAGCCCCTCTGTTATTGGACGAACTGAATGACGTAGACAGAACAAATTCAGAAGCTGATGCACATTGTCAACATCGCTTATCGACGAAAAAATCATAAGGCGCTTCCACCACGCCATATGAATTTTTATTTAAGAAAAAAGACTTCATAAAATTCTTTACTGAATGAGGTTTCGACTTGGCATGCAGCTCAAGTTGCGTATGGAAATGAGATGCAAGTTTTTCAACAGATTAATTACAATAGCCAATTGCAAATAAAATTTAACTTCCATTTCGATTCCTAATTTTACAATATTTATTGATAGAGGGTCTCCCTAGATTAAATTTAAGATAAATTTCTCTAGCAATGGGGAGCGCAATCTTGCCTACTTACGACGCCTGAGTATGAAACGAAAGTCAGAAGTACTACAAATGATAATACTTTAGTTGAAGTTTTCCCCTGGAAATACCAGAAAAACAGAGCTTGTGTGAAAATATGTATGAAAAGGAGTGACCACTTGCTGGTCATGACTAATCAGGTCACTGCCACTGCGTGCAAATGCTCGTAATTGCCATTCAGATTTTTAGAGTGCTGGCCACTGCGGAAATGACATGGACATTTTCAATTCCAGTTGATCCACTAACGTGCAATTCAACAGTTAGCATAATGGTTTTTTAAGTAGCACGATGCTGTCCCATTGGAGTCTTTGCTGAAGAGAAAACGCTTGCAGAAAATTCACAGGTTATCAACTAACGAAAAGTTTTGTAACAATTCTGATACGCGTTGTTAGTTTGAATGTAAAATGGGGACAGCCAAAGCAAAAGAGCGTCCTGTTATACAGAGGAAGCTATGTCTATTTATGTAGGGGTATGGAAGAACAAGGTAAACCATAATCGTAAGCAACTATCATTCAATCTACATTTGCCTAAGCTCCCACAGCTTTGCGGTCAATGACAACGCATTTACCTCACGGACCACATAAATGGGTCCTCGACTGGAGGACTCAAATAATGCCGTACAGCTTTAAATCCGGTAAGCAGGAATAGTGATTTGAAAAGTTTCACACTAATTAGTGAAAGTTAGCTTAACGTATATACGTCGTATTTGAGTAGATTTACACAAATAAAGGTTGGCCAAATTCATCAGTTTTGTGGACGTCAACCAACAGTTCATCATTAATGCAAATATTGCAGAAAATACGAGCAAAGGACAAAGAATCATGCTCTTTTTCGATGCGGAACAGAATTATAGTAAGAACACTTCACATCAGAAATAGTTACAGTAGCCAATTTTAATTGATGGTTTAAAGGACCGTATTTATTTGCTCACATCCAAGTAAGCATGCCAAATTCCAGAATAAAGCAGACACGAAATGTAAGCTGCGATGAGAGTTGATCCTCAATGCTGGTCGCTAGTTATCATTATTTCTTTTTCGAGGTTTATGAGGTATTCAAAATAAGCCTTCTAGTATCGACACTAATATATTACTTTAGCTCTAAATTGCCTAACCGGGAACAATCAAGTAACTTGGTTGAGAGCATTTTGAAGAAATAGGAAGATTTCGATGATGTAAACATTATTCTTGACTCTATGGGCTCCATCACAACTTCCAAATTGCCATGGCATGACAGAAAATGTAATAGCATGGTTTGGTTTTGAGCATTTCATCATCGTCTTCCTCGATGCCTTTCTCAAAAATCCGGCCTAGGCGTGTGAAAGTGAAGCATGATTAACCTAATAACAATGTTGAGACAGAATGCATCAATTTCACATAAGAGGACATTCATAGGCTTGGCAGACAGTTGATACTTCTGGGTAATGCTGATCATCCTTTGTAAAGCCACAGAGTTCTCTTACTGCATAAGAAGTGACCACTGAAACATTGGCGTGTCACTTTGGAGTGCACTTGAAGCGCACGCGTGTTCAGAGTGTTCGATTAAGCAGATTGACAATGTGCCATTGGAGCAGCTCATTAAAGTGTGTGATTCTTTGGAATTTCGTTGGCTCGATTCACGATTCCACATACATTTGCTTCATGATTGTGCTGTTGATTTACATTCTTCGCTCCGGCTAAAGTTATTGCACTATAAGTAATTATGACCACTGCAATTCGTGCTGCTTAGCCTTATTGTATGAAAAATGAGGCCCGACATGTTCCTCTATTTGCCCTCAATGCTGTTTTTTGGGTCGTTAAAGTCCGGCTCAAATCACACTTTGTCAATATTGAGTTAGGCGAATTCGCTTTAAGCTCCCTAAGCAAAGTAAGTAAGAAGATACCAGGTTCTTTGCCTTGTTCTAAAGCTCAACATTTACCTTCTACTCGTATCTATTCCATCTGTACTTCAAGACAGCATACTGGTAAATAAAAATGTACTATGTCTTTGGCAGCGCTTTTAACTCAACATGGGATACTGCATCGTTTGAGGTTGCATGTTGGTAGGTAGGTAGGTCAAAGTCACTGGTCATAAGTAGCAGTCAAGTCATTATTTCTAGGTCCAAAGCTCTAAAACTAACGTCAGAGTAAGGCGGACGGTAAATTAGTATTTGGCTAAGTTGGTTTTCAAAGTAGCTAGGCTTGGTATTAAACCTTATTTCACACTTCCACAATAATCACATCAACACAAATTTGTGCCGTAATTTTGCATTACATTACTTTTGTGCTTTGATTAATATACAACAATTTTTAATTGGAAATTGCGAAATACAGCAATTCATTCGCTTCCTTTTATTCTTCCATTTTTCTCAACAAAGCGTGGATCCCAACTTATGAACGCCGAAGGACTTTTCTGTGGGTGCTTTCGGCTCAGGTGTAATCCTTGATGGGGTTCTACTTCTCCTTTAACAAGTAGGTAATGAGGACGTCGAAATGGTTGATCGCTAATAAGAGAACAAAATCGACAATGGCTCAATGGGCGATTGTGTGAATCAATTAAGGATAAGACAGATCGTCTAATAATCCTAAGGTGTCTTGTGTATGTTTCAATCAGCGGAGAAGCTTAAAGGTAGTTGCTGTGATAAGAATGAGATGCCTTAAAGAAAACTGTATTAGCCCACGTGTTCTGATTTATTTTATTTTATCAAACCCAATAACTTAACTTTTTAACTACATGGCCAATCAGAGAAGAAAATTTACATGGTCGGAGTGAATGTCTATGGCTACTGTTTAATAAGCAAAATAGTACTAAATGTGCAAAACAGCAGGCTGCAACAAACTCCCTTCCAAGTACCGTTGGCCTGGTAGCATGGATGTCATTCTGAAATATTAAGGTTTCGAGGCCAACTTTAGATCGTAGCACATTTATAAATTAACCGTCCCTAATACCCCTTGCCTCCATTAACGACTAAGAGGTTGAAGCAGATTTGCTAAAAATTTAGATTTAATTCAGTGTTACTAGGCACAGATATTACCAACGTCTCACTGTAATGATGCACCGGTATTCGTATACTCCCAGTGCTCTTCTAATGAAGGGACCGTCGGTGATAGCAATTGACGAGGAAATCGGATTCCTCTTGGATAGCAACTACTGGAAAATTGCTTTAATAGTAGGTTTTAAATAACAATCAGAACGCTATGATTAAGTGCATTGCTGTGTAGTGCCTCACCTTTCCCTGAATTCGCAAGAAGTAACAGCAGTATGGCAGAAAATCTCTTAATAACGTACTTTAGATATAAAAGGCTACTGGTGTGGTCCGAGCAGAAGTACAATCTGTCCAAACTTAAATGACCGCGTAACCAAACGCAGCTCATTAAACTGGCCAACCATTATAGCTGTTTGTCAGTAAAAACAGATCATTATTAATATTTGAATTTGCTCTGAAAGTTAGCCATTAATCTTGTTTCTGAAATGGTTTAAGTGCGTGTTTGGATGATAGATTCATCACAACGCTTGCCAAATAACTACCTCTTACTGGATGGTGGGCAATGCACTTCAGAGTTACTCACGCCACTACGCTTTTAGGAATAATGATAAGGCTAAGAGTTGACTACTGCCGCTTCGTGAGGGGGAAGATAGGGCAAAGTTCACCTATCTTCCATAAGTCAGATGGCTGTTATGTGAAGTGGGAAAGTGCCAGCAGTGCATGGCCCCATGACATGGGCTAGAGGCAAGTGGAATTGCGTTTCGAAGGCAACGGTGGTGACGAAAGTTAATTTTTGCACAAGATAATGGTAAAAGGGTGGTGCTCTCATGATCTACTTGTAAGAGAAAGAGCGACTGTTTGCACCACTTAATCACTCGTGCAAAAATCATGGAGAATTCCATGTGAATATCTGCTCCACGACATGCCAAAACCTTAAAGAACCAGGATCCGATGTCGTACCATAAACAGCCACTAAACGATAGATTCTCTCCTTTTGAGGCACAGACAGGCTCAGCCAGACTTCGGTTCATTTTCCTGTTCACCTCTGTTCAGACTATTCCAGTTTCCTTTGTTTGAAGAAACTGGATAATAATGAGTTTGATCTGCTCATCATGCAGAAGTGATTTGACTTATGTGAATACATTTGTTTGGCAACCTCGTAGTCGTCAAAATGAAAGGAGGGAGTTTGAAGTGACCATGGCAACGGTCGGCAGGCATTACGTGTTAGATTGCAAAATTAGACGACGTTTACGCAGAGTATTTTCGCGTAAACGACTTTTCTTGCTCGTCCAAAGTGATTTTATGAGTAAGGTGGATTCCCATTCCCATTCATCTTCCTATCTTCCGGTGATTCACTCCAGGAAGGCAGTCACCAGTACCAATCCACAATCCTTTACCCCTTTTCAGTCCACTTGTCAGCAACAAGTTTTCTTCCCCACCGCTGCTTTGTTAGCTCATTATTGAGTTTCATGTGTGAGCCATCTCTTTAAATCGGTGAAATAACACTAGACGACAAAATAAAGAAGGATTCATTTTCTTCTATATATACCTCTTCTGACCATATACAATGTGTATCTAACGTAAATGACAGGTCCTTACTGCCTGCCTTGAAAGGTGATCGCGACAAATATACAGGTTTGTCCAGGTCCGTAATATTACACTGCAATGAGCCTCCTACGATCAGTAACAGAGGTTTAACTCCACAAAGTTGTGTGTGGTCATGCAAACCAAGCTTCATTCCAACAAACACTCATCCGTCCCAAGTAAAATCTTCCATACATCAGACTGTTTTGATATACAGAGGATAATCCTTCTGTTAGTTGCGGTTTCAAGGTGCAAATCAATCACAGTCGACTAGCAATGGCACATACAGGCACACATTTTTCTAAAAAAATTGCAAGCTGTTTGACTTTTCAGTCGAAAATCGTAGTTTGAATTAGCAGGCAATTTATCAAAGTTTGACACCCTCCGTTTACGCTGTTTTGGGAAACTTTTGTACGCAAAATATTAAAAGTGACTAGAATTCTGCTGTTTTGGATCAGCTAGGAGGTTTTGGTTTCAGTGTTGGTAGTTCTTAGGCATGCAGCGGTGACTAATAGGGTTGCCAACGCATGAAGTGCTTTCTAATCCAGTTTGCTATTCGTAATCGTCATCACCGTATCTTTCAAGCATCTATAAAGGCTGGGTGGTTATTCGATTATTCCATATTTTTTTACCAGCTAGCGTACCAATTCAGCATATCAGACTTACCCATGGTAAATTTATGTGAATTTCTGTAATGCTCACATTCTACTCTTCATATTAACTTTGAATCCCACTGTTAATATTCAATGGTTTCATGAGGTAGCGTAATTCGCAGTTTTTAAAGCAGATAATTTTGCTTCCCAGTATCCATGAAATTTGATTATGAATGCAGTTAAATCAATGCCACGTAAAAATATCTGCTTTATTAGGGGCAGAAGCTCTGATTGTCTATCCAGCATACACAATATATCAGTTAATGT